GGTGGTTAACGGGGAGCAGGCTCGCGTGCGGAGGGAGGGGAGCGGCAAACGGAGGCCTGCGTGGGGAGGGTTCCGGTTGCTGGGGAGGAAGAGAGTGATGGGGAGAGGTGATGCTCCGAATAGTGTGTCCAGGCAGAAGGCTGAGGACTGCTTTCTCGGAAGTAGGCGTCAGTAGGGGTCAGGGGAAAATTAGCGGGGAGCCGAGGGAGAGTAGGCTTGGGATTTGAAGGTAAAGGTTTCTGGAGCCTGGGGACACTTGGATCTGGAGCGAGAGGCGCGCCTTCTGAAACCGGAAGGTGACTTGGGGCGCAGGTTTTAGCGGTAGTGTGGAGGTGGACGCTCACTAGGAGGCGTTATTTGGCCTGTTAGAAAGTACACACCGAGTAAGTGAGGTAGATTTATGTATGACAGGTGAAGGCTGTGAATCTTTTATGAGCAGTTGGGCGAGAACAGAGTTGTGGGAAAAGCCACTGGTCAGAGCCAGATTCATAGGTTCATTCAGTACTCTTGAAGGGCCCATCCCTCTGATTTGTTAATTCTCAGTACTAAAACTGATCTCCCTTTCAGTTATGTGACAGTGCATTAGTTTTGCCTTAGGAGCACACAGAGTTGGTCTCTCAGGAAAGAAACTGGCATAGTTTGCTTTTGATGGGATGGCAGTAATAGCTTATTAGTTCTTTACATTTTAAAAAAAGAATATGTTTAAAGGCAGCATGATAGTCTTGGAAAAATCTGCCCTGTAGGGAAGTTTCTTAATTACCTTGTTGAGTATGTGTAATACAGCATAAAAATGATGCAAGATCTTTTAGGATGGAATAGAATTAATGTATACTTACAGTCCTGTTATTCTATAGGATCAGTCTTTTTGATACAGTGGGATTTCATTATGTGTTTCCTGAGAGACTTCTCAGCCTTGAGAAGAGTTTTGTGACTAAATAGCACAACATTATTTTCACTCAGGAAGGAAAGACACAATCGCTTCTCGGCCTTTTGGCTAAGATCAAGTGTAGGAAGGAAAGACATGATGTTTGCGTACCACTACTACTGCCTTTCTGTTGGAAGTTTTCAGACTCTTCATTTTTGGGGTGTGGGCAGAGGATGGGGAAGAGGAGAGGTGGATGGAAAGGTGGCCCATTGCCACATTGCCTGCAGATTTAAATGGCAGAGTTAATTGATGTTGGCGAATAGGACAAAAGGATTGTGAAAAGTTGTGTTGCCAAGGACAAAAACCAAAGAGCAGTTGTATAGGATGTTTCCTTGTTCACTAGATGAACAATACATTATAAATAATGGATCATGCTTTGGGATGTAGAAATAATTTTGTGGAAGTTTTTTTTTCTTGGTGTTTCTGTGATCACGTTACTTTTAGTACAACAGTACCTACTTGCTGAGGTCTCTTGGAGCAGAGAAATAAACTAATTGGTGTGGAGTTAATTAGGGAAGATTTCCTTAAAAAGGTGAGTTTTGAGCCATTATTTGAACTAAGAGTTAGGGTATGGATTATTGAAAGACAAGAATGACAGTCCAGTAGTTGGACATAGTATAAACAACTATGGGCAAGAATCACAAATGAAAAAATGTTTTTTAAAGAGAATTGCAGATTTGAGTGAACACTTAGCATTGAGGGAATCATCTAAACATACTGCAACTTAGTTGGTAAATGATAATTCTTTGTGCTAATTAGGAGAAAATTAGATCACTTGGGTTGAAATAGGCAGTAAAGTACACGAAATACTTTTGATAAGACAGTATTGTGAAAATAAGTAATCAAGAAGTACATCTGATAGTCTTAACAATACTCAGAAATATTTTTGAGTCATACTAGATCATACTGATTGGTAATAGCAAAATTTACTAGGTGCTGTTTTGTGTCAGACACTGTTTTGAGCTTTCCACGTAGCATCATCTTTTGATTATTTGTACATTAGAGATGAAGGACCTGAGATTCAGAGACATTTAGCTGGCCCAAAGTTACACAGCTAGTAAGTGGCAGGTTGGGATTGGTTAAGTCAGCCAGTAAGCCTTAATTGAGCATGTGCTCGATGCCAGGCCCTGTGCTAACTACTGGGAACTCAATAGTTGACAAAATCCAAAGATCAGGCCTGAACAATTTTTAAGATTGTTAAAGGCCAGCTAGTTTAGATACGGAGGAGTAAGTTGTTTCAAGAAACTTATCGTCCATAGAATTTTAAGGAAGAAGGAAGTGTTCAGCAACAAACTACATATTTAGCTGATAGACTCAAAAGAACACTGAGAAGAAAATAGTGAGTTAAGCACAAAAGAAATATACATGTAGTCTCAAGACTGGATGAAAGACATTAAGATATGGATTAGTAATCATGCTTAGTGACAAGTACTTTATACAAATTTAAGTATTTGGCTAATACTTATGATCAAATTCATAGGAAAGATGATAGTGGGGCCTCTTATAATGTCTTAATCATTGGCTAGAAAGATTCTAAGTGATTTTAAAATGCTTGTACTTTTCATTAACAAATTTCCTAGAATGAGCATTACTATTTTTATAATTAGAGGGTAAAAATCATTCAGCAGAAATGAGCTGTCAGGGGATACGTGGTTCTGAACCTGGGGTGAGAGAAAAGATGATCTTTTAGTGTTTGCTCCATATGGGCCATTGTATTAGGGCTGCTTTCCTGTTGGAAATGTCTGGGTTGTTAATTGGTAGGAATTGAAGCCATGTATACTGAAAGATGGTATTTGCTTAATCTGGAGGATCAGATTACTAAAGTAACCTCAATTGAAGTGATAGGTCTTGACCCATCTAAACATTTGTTTTCTTAGAGTTTAAGGTAAAAAGAAAAGGAACCATTCATAGAATGGAGTCATTTTAACTGTTTCTTTTGGCCTTGTAGCCTCCTTCTATTCCTGTGTATTGTTACCATAGTTCCCTCTTTAGTAAGTTTGTAATGGGCCTCAGAGTTTCAGTTCATTAAAGCAGTATGAAAGTACTGAATTTTGAACTGATCAACTTAAGCATTTAGAAATTCATCACTGTTTTCTGTTCCCAATTTGAAGAACAGAAAATAAGCTTTTCAGCTAGGCCTAGTAGCAAATACCTGTAATCCCGTCTACCCAGGAGACTAAGACAGGAGAATCTCAAGTTTTGAGGGCAGCCAGGGCAATTTAGCAAGGCATTGTCAGTGCTCCTTAGGTTTAGTCGTTAGTGCAGGGTGAAACAAAAGAAAATAAGCCTTTCTTACTAAATATTCCTAAGGAAACTAGTAAAGATTTGCCTTTGGATCTGTACCAACTGATTCCAGTCTCCTAAATACAGAGGAAAGTACTTTGCAAATCAGTGTTTGTTTATATATTTATTTTGCTGTACTAGGGATTGAACCCAGAGTCTTTGCCACTGAGCCACACCCCTAGTCCTTTTTCATTTTTTATTTTGAGACAGAGTCTCTCTGAGTACCTAGCTGAAGTTGCCTGGGCTGGGCTTGAACTTGAGATCCTCTTGCCTCAGCTTCCTAGAAGGCTGGGATTATAAGCATGTGCCACCATATCAGGCTTCTAATTTTTGTTTTAATTTTATTTTGCCCATAGGGCTTATGAGAAAAAAACTTAATGTGATTTCTGTTTCATGTAGGCATTATATTGCATTCCTTAAGTGATATTAAATTTTTATATAATTCTCTTGTGTGTGTCCCATTTTACAGATGATGAGAATGAAATTTAGAGAAATTAGTAACTTTCTGAGGGTCTGAGTGCCAAGTTGGCAGAGCTAGCATTCAAACCTTGTTTTGTCTAACTCCAAAATTTATGAAACAAGTAACAAGGATTTGTTAATTCCTGAAAAAAAATGCCACATAATGAGGTATTTTGTAACTATTTGTTACTTTAGAAGTGGGATTCTGGGCGGGCAATTTAGCTCAGGGGTTCCACTGCCTGCCTGGCAAGTACAAGGTCCAGAGTTTGATCCCTGGTACCAAAAAAAAAAAAAAAAAGTGGGATTCTTGGTCCTACTTTTGTGCCTTGTGACATTGCCTCTAAGCGATACTGATTTTAACATGCTTTATAGGGTACATTATATTACATTTTCTTGCTTTAGAGATGTACATGGTCTGATTAAAAATATGGTGAATAAAAAAATTTAAAAAAATTTATTAAAGACACATTACCATTAAAGTACCCCCCCCCGCACTTCAAATACACTTACTACATCACTCTTACTACTTTCTGAAGCAGTTCTGGAAGTCCTTTCACGAGTGTCTTTAGCTGCACTATCATAGCTGCTTTGATGTTCTGTATTGATTGAAAATATTTACTGTTCATGGTCATTTTGACTCTACAAAGAGCCAGAAATTGCACAGTTCGGGTGAGTAAGATGGTTGGGGACACACTAATGGTTTTTATGAGTTGCCTTTCCATTGGGTGACACCTGGCATCAGCGTTCGCCATGTTTTTGGTCACATTTTAAGGATGCTCACAGAAGGCTTCTACAGCTGCTTCAGAAGGTGGCAAGAATGAAGAAAGGGAAAGTGTTTTGAATGACAATGTGTCTCTTAGCTGTAGTAATTTTTAAACGTTCACCATGTGAGTACACTTTGTATATCTTTACATTTTAGTATTTTTTTGAAGTAGAGATTTATTTTACAATGTCTGTTTCAAAATGTTTATGAAATACTGTGCCTTGAAGTAATGTCTCAGAACTGAGGAAGTAGAGTAGGTTCATACAGCTTTCATATATAA